ATCTGCTTAATGGCCTATGAATGTCTCCATGGATACTCAGGAGGGAGAGAGAGATGGATGGAGGGACAGAGATGGCTCCGATCGGAAAGGTAGGCTCTCAGCAGGGAACTCTCGTGTGCATGTGAGTGCGTTTGGCTTAATGCATGTGTGTGTATGTGTTCAGAGATACTTAGTGCAATGAGTGCAGTACTTCAAATGATTTCAGTTTCCTGTAAGTGCAACATCAAAAAAGAAAAAAAAAGACGCAACCCGGTAGATGTGTGTGTGTTGGCGTGCATCTGTGTGTGTGGAGGGTAAGCCTAGGTGTCGGGATGGGGAAGAGAGAGGTGGTTTAATACAATAAAGCATGTTGTATTGACATCTCTGTTGTGTCTATTGATTCCCCATTATGTCCCTAACAAACCCGGCTGGACATTTGGTCATTCGCAATCATGTTAGCACTGGGACTCGCTGACGTTCCCGCTCAAATCCGATCTATATACACATACACACACGCGCTCTCTGGCTGCGGACGGCAGGGCTGATCTTCCTTTATCAATACCTGTTTGAGGTTAAAACACTTTGCGGCGCATCAAACTGTAAATTTGAATCAGTGTAAACACAGCTTGCCCGCGCAGACAGACATGCGAAGGAGCCATAGACTTGACTTATCGCATTTGACCTTTAACCTCAAGCACACCCCTATATTCTCCTAAAGAGCAGCTACTTGGATTTATACAGCAGCATAAAACTATTTTGTGGTTTTGCTGCAGTGATTAGGCTGTGGATATATTTATTGTATAAGGCTATTATTCCATAAAAGTGACCCTGAAAGGGGTTTAGAGACTGCACAAAAAACTACAGTACAACAATGTGGTTCCTAATCACAGCACCAGGGAAATAAGGCCTAAAAATAATGGTTGACCTGTTAAACACCTCTATAAGCATTCCCTCCCTACAGAGCTAAAACACAGAATACAACGGGGTTCAAAATTTTGAGATAACTAGTGGAAATGGTTCTCATTTTCTAATTTGTATCACAAATTATATTATCAGTATTATTTTAGTGCTAGATCATTTTTTTAGTGTTTGTATGTTATCTTTTTACCTTAATGATTACATGCATTTGAGCTGCATGGACTCCACCAGTCGCCAGGGCCAACATAATGCATTTCTTATATTTTTAACAGAATGGTACAGAATATGTTTTCCCAACTGTTATTTATTAATTTGTGAAATTCTAAAACTTTTATCTACAGGTTTAATTTAATAAAAAAACTATATGTTTTTGATGTTATCTCAGACTTTTGGGCTGAACTGTACATCTCGTACACAGCCAATATAAATGTAGATGCTTAGTGAGGGAAGGTACAGTGTTACTTACAGATAGGCATTAATGAGGGCATTGATTTTATTAGCAACATTTAACCAAAGCTTAGCTGACATTACAGATCCAGTGTTTTGGGTGCTCTGCATAGCATTTCTTTGAAAGAGTGTGTTACACAATGTGATGAAAATGTGTGAAATATCTGACGGGGCAGATTGTCAAATTAGCCATAGCAAGATAATGTTCGCAATATTAACTTTGCCATTTACGAAAATAAACACTGATGCATCAATAACAGTGCAGCATTTGCTAGAAAATAAATGCTTCCCAGCAGCCTAGGCACTCAAAGCTACATTATAAATATAGTGTGCAGACTATCCCAATCTCCCTGATGCCAAGATTCTACAGTAAACACACAGAGTGAAAACTGTTAGATATCTTCATGGTCATCGGTTTGGAAAAACCTAGTAAAAACTTTGAACCAATGCCCTCGATAGTGTCTATCATCTGTAAATAAGGCTGAACATAAATGTAGTTTCCCTCACACAACATAAAGATCCTCACTGCTGCTCCGCTTGTCACTCTGACCTCTGCAGCATTTAATGTCAGCTGTGGCACCTGGTGTCCATTTTGAGTCTTATATTATCAAAGAAGTGAAAGGTTTAACCTTTGGCATAATTTTAAAAGCCGAAAAGGTTAAAGTCTTAAAACCAAGTGGAAGCCGAACGCCAAATAGATTCAGCTCATTTTTTTTCCATTTAGGGGAAAAAGTCAGTTTAAATATAAGAAAAATAGAATGTGACACATCAAGTGATAATGTTATTTCATCACCAGACATTAAAAATGCTCATTACCACACAGAACAGACAAAACAAACACACAAGTGTAAGCAAACACTGAACACAAGTACACACACAATCAAGTTCAAGTTAGATTTGAAATCAATAACGCATCCATCAATAAAAACATGAAAACATTGTTAGTACCTGTTCAAAATGAACTTGCTGCACAATTAATTGTTCACTGTAATTTTTAAGGCTCGCCGTTCATTTATTTTTACCATTGTTTTTTAAATGTAAATTTAAGAATCAATGTCTCTCATTTTCAGGAATGATTTGAAATCCCCCTCTCTCTTTTCCTCCCTAAATATCCTCCAGTTCACTAGACTTCTGGCCTAAAAACAAGCAGGCCAATCCAATTTTAACACTAACCTACCTGCATTTAAAGAAAGCACATCACCATGTGGGCCCATTATGTGGTGCAGCTTATGAAAGCTTAATGTCTGGCTCTTTGCTCATTTAGGCGCCAGTAAGTAATTAAAGGGATAGTTCACCCAAAAATGAAAATTGTATGTTTATCTGCTTACCCCCAGGGCATCCAAGATGTAGGTGACTTTGATTCTTCAGTAGAACACAAATGATGATTTTTAAGTCCAACCGTTGCAGTCTATCAGTCATATAATACATGGCAATGACAACAAAATCTATGAGAGTAAAAAAACATGCACAGACAAATCCAAATTAAACCCTGCTGCTCGTGACGACGCATTGATGTCCTAAGACACGAAACGATTGGTTTGTGCCAGAAACCGAACAGTATTTATATAATTTTTTACCTCTTAATACATCACTACGTCCAACTGTCTTTGGGCGCGCGCACGGCATCTGGTGCGTGAGGTGTGTACCCGCTCTGGCATAGTTTACGTTAATGGGTGTGTTGATATCCAGCCGAAGAGCAATCAACCATAACTTCAGGCGAGCAGGCTCAGAAGTTGGGAATACGTGGAAAGTCACCACTCCCGAATGAGTTCGCGCGAGAGAACGTAATCTTTTAGTTTCAAGTCGGTTTGAACAAACCTGGATAAGTGCAAGCAGGTACCATTTTGATTAGCCGTCGCACCTACAATGACTGTGCAAACAATGAGTGACGTATACGCGCGAGAGATCACTTCCTGCGCTTGCGTAAACTATGCCAGAGCGCGTACACTCCTCACGCACCGGATGCCGTGCGCACGCCCAAAGACAGTTGGACATAGTGGTGTATTAGAGGTAAAATATGATATAAATACTGTTCGGTTTCTGGCACAAACCGATCGTTTCATGTCTTAGGACATCAATGTGTCGTCACGAGCCTCAGGGTTTAATTTGGATTTGTCTGTGCACGTTTTTTTTACTCATAGATTTTGTTACCATTGCCATGCATTATATGACTGATAGACTGCAACGGTTAAAGTTAAAAATCATCATATGTGTTCTACACAAATTTTCATTTTTGGGTGACCTATCCCTTTAAAGACTTGGGGTATCAGGGCAGACGCCATATTTACTTTTTGTGAATGAAGCAGAAGCTGTGAGGTCTGTTGAATTGGTTCTGCAGATGCAACAAAGAAAAAAAAGGCAATCTACAAAACTCTGGAAAACTGGTGATATGAAAATTTAACTAACTATATGGGCATAACCTTTTGAGCTGATTCTACCTGTGTCCCTCAGCCTCGTTTTCATTAACAAACAAGCAAATACATGAATAAATAAATATGGCGTCCACTTTCAGTAAGGCCTATGGTGTATCCACTTTTTAGTTCTTATATGAAACAGAGTTAAAGGCAGCGGTGCCAACGCGAAGTTTTTAAGTTCCTTATTTACATTTCAGTCATTGTGTGCTGGTGTATGACATGTTTAAGGTGACACATGATCTAGAAGTGGCGCATACGTTTAATCCATCTGCTGGTTGGAAAATTTCCGTTTCGTTGAACGCCAGACACTGCGCCCCTCACTAATGCAGTAGGCTACTTCAGAACCAACACTCCTTATACAAGGAAAAATACGTTGTTCTTTCATTTCAAACCTACATTCTTGGTAACACTTCGCATTAAAGGGTCATGTTACACTTTTCATGTAAATATGCCTACTATTAATTTCTATAATAATTTTGCGAAATGAGTTAATTTACATGCAGCTCCACAAATAACTGCACATATGTTGTTTATTTGTAGGCCTAACATGAAAACAACTATGCAAAGTCTATTAAAAAGTCTTGTATTCCAAAGCTTTAGTAATATTTTCTTAGCTAAGTACAGTCAGATAGTGATGACTGTAATTTAAAATTAAATTAAGCTAATTAGCCTACGTTATTTATGCCTAAAGTAAAAGCACTTAAAATCGTCAAAAGCATTATTAACAAATAAAGTGACATTCGGTCTCATCATTCTCAAACTTGTCGTTAAATTCACGCACTCGCTCCGTCTTTTCCCCCGCAGTCTGCGTGTATCGATTGCGGCGGAATCGATAAATTAACATGAATATTCCCTGAACCGGTCGTGAGAAGAGAGTCAGACGGCAGATGGAGAAGCAGATACGGAGAGGACAGAAGGATGAAAGCAGCCAAAAGAGGCCGAGACGAACCATTCAAACAAGCGCAATTATGGGCAGACGTCTTTTTAACTCAACCAGCCTTCACTAATGCACACTCAAAGTGGCACATTTTTATAAAATATATGCATACACAAACGGAACTAAAATGACCTGAACGTGATTTTTAATAAATACAAAAATATGGATTTCATTCAGACGGTTGTCTGGGGCTGAACAGGTGTTTCGGCTCCACGTTTAGATTTTTTTTTATTTTCAGTGTGAGGGGGAATAAAAAGAAAAGCTGTTACCGACATTAACCAGAGGGAGGTAAAGGTATCTCTTACCGGAGTTACCGGAGCGCAGAGGCAGCGGAGACTTGAGTCGCCAGGCGCTGAAATCAGGAGCGGTTCTCTGAAACACCAACGGCACCGGCAAAGGAACAAACATGATCCGTTGTCCTTTTCTTCTATGGCCTCTTGTATTTGGCGCTTGTCTTGAGTTTCTTTTTCTTTGGTTGCTTATTGTGTTTTGAGGTTGTTTCTTTTTTTCTTTTTGGTAGGTTAATAGTAACTATTTGGTTTAAAATGTATAACCTAAGTACATTTCTTAAGCTATCTTTACATTTTTGGTATTGTGCCTCTCAGTCATTAGCTAGGCTACTTCTTCCTCAGGGATACTCTATCTCGGACTGACACACAGACGGATAGTCGGGATCTTTCAAGCGGTCTAAATATAATCGGAATATATAAAAATGGTTTTTGTGGTCACTTAACGTTTGTTTTGTCTTTCTGTTGGCAAAAATCCCTTAAATTATCCAACAAATTAGAATAACAGAACGTTTAAGACCTACGCTTTCAAACGACGAACCGTTGGCTGAAACTGTGACTTTTTAAAATTCAAAACTCACTTGTTGTCCTAACGGTCATAACGTTTCCTGGGCTTTGCGTATCCCGCGCGAGACCAGGTGTGCGGTCGGTAAACGTCACAATGGCCTTGCGCGCGTCGCGATCCGGTTCCACTTTGGTTTCGCTTTTTAAACAAATCTCGAGTCAAAATCGTGTTCACTTTAGTACAAAAACTATTTGGTTACATTACAATCAAGTCGCGGTTGCTGGCTTTAAAACGGTTTGCAAAGGTTTAACAGGAATATTTGGTTTCTCTATTTGGTTTCTAGCTCTCCTACTGTCTGGTTTATCTCGCGCACATTGCATGCATTTCAAGCAGCATTTTAATTTTAGTATAAAATATAATAGAATCGCTTAATATATTTAAATAATCACGCACGTATAAGGCTACGCAGCGGTTCGATGCGCTCCCCCTTGGTTTCCACTCACGAGCCGGCAATTAAAACGCAATCAATCGATAAATAAATTAAGGAGCAACACTGCTTGTGCACGAAATGTTAAAACTGAACGAAAAGAAAACAAATAACGGTACCCGTTAAGAGGAATTCAGCTCTTTGGCTCTGTCCCACCACCATCCGTCTGTGAGTGCGTGTGCGTCCGTTACGATAGTCCCGTTATCTAGGACCCGGTAGCTTGCGAGCTCTGTCCGCCTCCCGGTACGAAAGCAACACTGATACGAGAGGAGCAGCCGCTATACTCCCCCCGCCCCCTTCTCTCCCTCCATCCATACCTCCCCCTCTCCCCTTCTTTTTTTACTAATAATCGGAATATATAAAAATGGTTTTTGTGGTCACTTAACGTTTGTTTTGTCTTTCTGTTGGCAAAAATCCCTTAAATTATCCAACAAATTAGAATAACAGAACGTTTAAGACCTACGCTTTCAAACGACGAACCGTTGGCTGAAACTGTGACTTTTTAAAATTCAAAACTCACTTGTTGTCCTAACGGTCATAACGTTTCCTGGGCTTTGCGTATCCCGCGCGAGACCAGGTGTGCGGTCGGTAAACGTCACAATGGCCTTGCGCGCGTCGCGATCCGGTTCCACTTTGGTTTCGCTTTTTAAACAAATCTCGAGTCAAAATCGTGTTCACTTTAGTACAAAAACTATTTGGTTACATTACAATCAAGTCGCGGTTGCTGGCTTTAAAACGGTTTGCAAAGGTTTAACAGGAATATTTGGTTTCTCTATTTGGTTTCTAGCTCTCCTACTGTCTGGTTTATCTCGCGCACATTGCATGCATTTCAAGCAGCATTTTAATTTTAGTATAAAATATAATAGAATCGCTTAATATATTTAAATAATCACGCACGTATAAGGCTACGCAGCGGTTCGATGCGCTCCCCCTTGGTTTCCACTCACGAGCCGGCAATTAAAACGCAATCAATCGATAAATAAATTAAGGAGCAACACTGCTTGTGCACGAAATGTTAAAACTGAACGAAAAGAAAACAAATAACGGTACCCGTTAAGAGGAATTCAGCTCTTTGGCTCTGTCCCACCACCATCCGTCTGTGAGTGCGTGTGCGTCCGTTACGATAGTCCCGTTATCTAGGACCCGGTAGCTTGCGAGCTCTGTCCGCCTCCCGGTACGAAAGCAACACTGAAACGAGAGGAGCAGCCGCTATACCCCCCCCGCCCCCCTTTCTCTCCCTCCATCCATACCTCTCCCCCTTTTTTTTTTTTTACTAATCCCATATAAGGCAAGCTATCCTGCGTATTGATCGCTTGATTACCCTTCATTATGATGACTCTGATGATCGCGGTGGGCCGCTGATCGATAGGCTTACACACATTCACCGAGTGGCTTACATCATGTGATTATATCCTTATCTACATGCAGGTATATGTCTGTGGAAAAAACAAGGGCGATATAAGCGACCAGTCTACGGAGAAACCATTGATATGTTATGGTGATTATTTAACGTGGCGGATTATACTGTGAATAAGCAACAAACAGAACCCGATTATTGCTACCTCACAAAAGTTTCATTTGGTCTATTACTAGTCTAGGGTCTCTCTCTCTCTCTCCCATTCTACCTTTCAATTCCCTCTTTTCGACACACTGAATGCTGTCAGAAATAAAGCTACAATCTATGCCGCGCACTTACACTCCAGATTATTGCCGACATAGATTTTTTAAATAGAAAAATCTATACGCTAAACATCGCAGTCAATACGGAAAAATCGAAAGCTCTGCTCCTGATCCCCCCACCACCCTCACATTCGCCCCAAACTTCATGTCTCTCTCTATCTACCTGTCTATCTATTCTACTATATCCGAGGTGATATAGCCAAGATCAATTATTGGCCAGCGTGTCATAAGAAAAATACTTAATAATCATAAAAAACACACTTACTTAACTGATTTGAAATATGCCTTAATAGCTAGGCTATTTGATTAACACAACATACACACGCATATTTTATTTGTTTCAGAAAATCATTTTCCTGCAACACAACAGACTCACAATGGTTCCTTGAGCTTTATTGTCCCCAAGCACCCCCTCCATTTGACAGATGACATCCGCGTGTCCAACGAGCGAGTGGGGGGAACGGAAGAAAAAAAAAGAAGCGACAAGTTGTCCTTCACGAATCCCCCTCGCCTGAAAGGGCACGCGTTGCGAACCCCCCATCCAAACTCCTTCCAGACAAAAGCAATTATTTCTTGTAGAATATAGTGTGTTTTGCGCGTCTATAGCGCGGAGAAGGAAGAAAGGTGTGCAGACTGAAACACAGTTTCCAAATATGACATTTCCATTTCGTTACATTCAATGGTCAGCACATAGTCCACTACAGTATCGAATAGGCATTACGATTGGCATGCCATCATTTAAAAAATAGGGAAAATCAAATGCACAAAACTCAAAAACTATTCCAAATGTATCACTACATGCAAGACACTAGTTAAAATAGCTTGAGCACCTACTATAATGTATAAAGAGTAAACAAAATAAAGTCACTGATAAAATTGTGCACATTTTTTGACAGGAATTGATATTAATTCTGGCATCATTATCATTATTTAACTTCCTGTTGTGATTAAAAAAAAGATCATTAGAAATAATCATTACCCAGCGCACACATAAAAAGAAACTTCCTCCTGTGTGTGTGTGTCTGGGTGGGCGAACCAGACAGCGATAGTGAAAGAGTTCATTGTTAAATGGCAATGTCATGTTGACAAATGCGTTGGTTGAATTAAATTCTCTCTCATCAATAACAAGGCGCCCCAATCAATACCAGCTTACAATTATATCAACACCCCGTCTTGCTGTAACGAGCAGCTAATACCGTGGCTAGGACACATTCCCACTGTGGTGCAACCCTTGTATACAATATCATTCCTTCTCACCAACACATGACAGATACAAAACAACCCCAGATTTCTCTTACACAACCACATACAGAATGTAATGTACCTTCTATAAGCAATCTTTGCATGTTATGCATATGTATGCCTCTAAACACAGTAACAATATCTAAAAAGAGTCAACGTTTACTATTTGACCCAATGTCTACTTAATTCCTGAACGATGGAGTTAGAAGTGATTCAAGCAGGGGCTCGCATACTTTCTCTCTTCAGCTGATCTAATGATCAGTGCTGACATATCGTCAATATCCAGCTCAAGTCTGCCAATACCCCTAATACAAATCCATCCTCTGCGCCATAGCTCTCTTTTAACACACACACAGGGTAAAAATTGCACGGTGCTAATGTTGTCTTCTCTTTATCACCAATCGATATCAGATCTTGTCTTATTGACAGATAGCCTGCTCATCAATGCAAGGGAATGTTGGGATTTGTATTTCTTTATATGCTGGTATATAACGGATTTATCATTAGCCCTATACTTTCTCTTTGACATATTAGTATTTTTTTGCACCTTTAACATCTGGGATGAAGGGAGAAGAATAAGATAATGAATTATCAATAGTTAATAGTTACTTAAATGGAATAATACCACAACAAATGTCCTTTTTAATCTCAGATACAGCCTAGGCTGCTTACACCATTTGCGCTTTTGTTGCTTTTCTTGCATAGCCTGCCAAACACTCTTACAATATTTCGATTTCACACATTTGCTTATGGCAGCTAAAATTCACAAACCAGATTTTTTTATTTCTTCTTTTATTAATGCATCCTTTACAGGACCCGCCACAAAACGTCTTTTCCATTTCATACAGATTCTACCATCATTCCACGCTATGCTAGTTTTAACACGATCAAAGACTTGGGAGACAGCAGCTGAAGATCCAGCAGTCAGTGCTGGTAAAAGACATCGACCCCCAAAGTGCTGGCGATGTGTCTCGCCCGCAGCGGCCTGCCGCGGCCTAATGCTATGACATGGAAGGGGCTATCAGTAGCGCGCAGACTAGCTTGAGAGGGGGAGCTGATTTTGCCCCGTCAGAGGCCTGCTGAATATGTGATCCACCGTTACAGTGGAAGAGGATAAAGCCCCAATACCCCGTCTGTGATCTTTATGGGGTGCCGAGTGTGTGTAAGTGTGTGTGGCTACGCGGAGGCAAAAGGTAAAGAGTGCGTG